ACATTTCTAATGTATAATTCTATTTATATTTAAACGTCAATGATGTTGATGATAAATAGAACAAATAATATTTTTAACATTAATAAAGAACAATTATACAAAGGTGAAATAAATAAATAAATAAATATATATAAAAGAGAACTTGATAATAAATTAAAAATTTTAAAATCTCGATTTAGTAAAAAACACTTTCCTGATTTATATCTTGTTTATATAGTTTTCTTTAAAGCTTTTAGTTGATAATCAGTGACTTGGTTCTTTGAAACATTCATTGTTAACTAACTGTTTGATATCTTCCAATTCAAAGGTATATCTGGTTAGCATTAAATGCTATAATTGATGTTTTTATGAAAGGTTCATCTTTAAAACGTTTGGCAATACATTTAGCACCAATATGGTTTGTCACTTTTAATGTATGTTTTCTATTCCAGATGGTATATAATGGCTATAGAATGTTCCATAGCACCTTCATCAAGGTTTTTTACAATCAAATCATCCAGAATATTTACCAGATGCAACTCTGCTTGGTTTCAAGAATTTTACCATTATAATTAATAATTTATAGATGAACACTGTCTTTATTTTAAATTTGATTGATCATTAAAAAAATTAATAAAACAATGAAAAGAAAAAAATAATTAATTAATGATAAATTTATGAATAATAAAAAAAATTATGAATAATACAATTCAAGATTCATTCCATCATTAATTTCATCTAAAAAATAAAATAAATTATTATTAATATTATTATATATAAACATATCAACATAAATCATTAATAACAATGATAAACTAATTACAATCTTCCAATGTGATATGATTTTTAAAAGTTGTATACCTAAACAATCATTAATAATAGTATATAAATTATAATTTATCAATAAATTATTAAAAGTAACAATGATAAATAAATAAAATTAATTTACCATTTTTTTAAAATAATTCTTGAAGGATCGGTGCCAGTTTGAGCTGAAATCAATTTCTTTAATTCACCAACTGTGTCTGCTGGACTAAAACCAAACATTAACATCAATGAAACAACAATTACGAAGTTAAAATTTAAGGCCAATTGTTAATATTAGTATTGTCATTAATATTATTATATACGTACTTGCATTTTACACGAACTTTTTTACCTAATCTATCATTACAAATAATCTCAATCATCTCAAAAAAATTATTAATTAATTAAAAAGGTCAATATTTTAATATATAACAGATTCCTAATACAACAGTCGTACATACGTATTACCGAATAATATGGTGCACATCAATCAAAAAAATTGCTAATTGCTATGGATCGAAAGCCATATTAATATAATTAATATATTAATATGGAAATTGCAAAAAACAACTCTATTATTGACCCAAGCAATAATGCGACGAAAAGTTTTATTAATAAAAAAGAAAAAAATTATATTTGCACAATTTTACAGGATACATATTAATATGAATTTTTCAAAAAAATTTTAGTCCGATCATTTAAAATTTTTTTCTCATCTTGCTTGACAGTGGTTATGTCCGTCGAATAACATTCATCGATTATCTGATACCAGACAGTATAATATATCAAGTACGGTCAAACCTTGTGACAGCGGATGAACGGGACACATAAGAAAATTTTATTTAAAATCCGTTGTGGCAAGATTACTAATACTAACCTTGTCACAACGGATTTTTATGTGATGGTGAAGCAAAAATTTTAAAAATCCGTTACCGTTATGGCGAGGTTTGCTATGGCAAGGTTTGACTGTAATCCAAAAGAAATTTAACATTGCCATACAATTGAAAGAGCAAAAAAGGAGGTTCCATATCTAAAAATGCACTATGATATCCGAGATACCTGATATTGTAGTAAGTCGTGGCATAACAATACATGGTCAACGCCTAATTATATTTCACACTTTATGGGGTAACCAAAGATAATACAAATCTAACACTCGGCGGATATTCGATGAATAATCGAGTAATCACCGATTGTCCGGGCGTTGAATTTTATTGATTGGCCGGGTATTCAAACATTTGGTTAAGAACTGACGAATTCAAAAAACGTGCGATCAAAAAATTATAATACCTAGTAGGATATCCTTTACTTATACGGAATACTATTTATTAATTTGTTTAAATAGTTCAAATTAATGATGTTAGTCGGCCAAGGTTTTTCTACCGAATAACATCACTAGTTCAAATCTGGATTATATATATCACTCTTCTTATATATTAAAAAAATTCGTTTTTATTTCTTGGTCTTTGTCTTATTCTAATTTTCCCTTCAATAATCACATTTTTTTGAATGCATGCGACTTTGTCGGTTCTTTTTTTGTTTTTTAAAAAATATCTCAAAAAACTAATGTTAAAAGATGGGTTAAAATTCATAATCATGCATTTTTGGCCATTTTTTTGAGCAACTTTTATTATGCATCAAGATTAGAAAAGTGAAATGAAATTTATTAACACTTTTGACTTTGGGAATCTGAAATTTGAATTTAATATATAACTTTGTTACAACAAATAATGGCTAAATTACTATTAATTTATAGTCTGAAAAGTCTATTTTATTATTTTAATTTTAAAATAAATAGTTCAGCTGTGGATTCCGGGTATAAAATAATTTCAGTTGGACAATGCTTTATTGTCATAGAACCCGACTTGGTAATTCAAAATTTTAATCTACAATCTATCATCCGACGATCAAAAAAAATAGTAATAGGAATTAAAAGGAATTCAAAAAGGGTGTCGGCCGAAAGTTCATCTTTTATTGAGAGAAAAGAAAAGAAGAAAAGAGAAAAAAGCAAAGAAAGATCAACTCTTACCAAGAGGATCGAAAGAACTAAATTTGAAATAAACGAGAAACGAAACAACATAAACGATAAAAGAATATAACAAACAATACAAAAACTTGGCAAATTTCCAAGAAGGAATGCCCACCCGTATAAAATTTTACTTTGAACCGAAAGAAATTAGAAGAAAATTGAAAAGTTGATGATCTTGACTAGAAAAGAAACAAAATAAAGTTAGTTTGTGCGCACAACTTTACAAAAAAAACAGGTTCTTTGTAATAAAATACTTGCATAAATATTAAGCATTCTCCAAGGAAGGAATCACTGAAATAATAAAAATAAATATTTTATAATGTATGTATTATTTTTTATTATATCAAAATAAAGCAAGCAAGCAAGCGTATTGAATCAATCAATAAATCAATTAGATTAAACAATGGGAAATAATTATTTTTTGTTTAAATGACTGAATGAACGAATATTATTTAAAATTGTCATCTTCCAACGACATTAATAAACGTTTTCAACAGGTCTTCTCCATACGATCCATACATACCTAAGGAGGGTGCTGCTGGTGGTCCACCTTCAAAAACTTTAGAAATTCAAAAAAAAATAGACGAGACTGTAGAAGTTATGCGTGATAACCTTAAATCTGTTGCTGAAAGAGGAGTGAAATTAGATACTTTACAAGATAAAACTGGTAAAGAATTTATGTTAGAGAGTAAAGAAATACTTTAAATATTAGTACTGTAATATCTTCTCACTATTTTTTTGTAAATAGAAAATTTGTCAGTATCAGCACAAGGATTTCGTCGTGGGGCAAATAAAGTACGGAAGCAAATGTGGTGGAAAGATATGAAAATGAGAATTATTATTATTGTTGCTATAATCATTTTATTATTGATTATTATTTGTAAGTAATATCAATTACTATATAATATTGGAAAATATATATTATAATAAGAAGCATACCAACTAATTAATTAATCAATTTTTTTTTGTAGTGCCAATTGTTCTCTAAAAAATAATTTATAACCAAATTTCATTTATTCTTTTTCTGTCTATGAAGAAGAAAAGAAATCAGAATTCATTATTATTGTTGTTATTACTGTTATTTTTGTTGTTGTGGTCGTTGTTGTCGCGTTGTCGTTGTTGTTGTTTTTCTCGAATTTGAAATACATGTAAACCCTCTTACCTATATATTTTTTATATCTTGTATTATTATTTAATATTAAATATTATATATATATATATATTTAAAAAATAACAGTATATTATGTTTCTGATGTTGCAGATGTTAAATCTGGTATTTCTTTTAATTCACCCTCACCACAAGATGGTGTATATATAATAGTAATTAATGGTGCGTGATTAAATTGTATGACTTGATAAAGTCTGTAAAAGGTGATTATATATTTATTTTCTTTGACCCTAATTTCGATGTCTAAAATTATAAATTTTCTCTCTATTTGCATAATTAAATAATTAAATTACCTGATCATTGATAACTCCAAAAGTCGCTCAAATGTTTTAATGGATGATGCATTACTTTGTTACAGCTTATCATTATTTAAAAATCAATTGATTCCTAATCGATTTACATTGCTTCTTACATTTTATTATTGCAACACCATCTTTGTTAGTCACTGTTACAGCTTTAAAACCATCCACTCTATTAGAATAACATTATTTTATATGAAATGATACACTTATATACACATGCTTATTCCAAAATGCTAACTATTTTTTGTAATTCAACTTGTCAAAAGTAGGACTTTTTATATGGGGGATTCAATCAGGACATGCCAAAGAGTTGAGAGATGCACAATTGGATTTTCTAAAATTACTGAATTTTTCCATATTCAAAACCCTAATAGAGATCAATCTCTTGATGATGATGATGATGATGATGAAAAAGATGAAGATGATATAACTGGAGAAATATAATAGATTCTGTTGAATAATCTCAATTTAGACAATGATGCAAAGTCTAGGATTAACAGCAACTGGGATGTATTTTAGAAATTTAGATAATGGTAAAAAAAAGGTTGAACCAAGTAAGATAGTGGCAGTATCTCTGTGTGAACAAAAAATTATAAATATAATTAACAATAGAATTTGTTCCATCAAGCTGTGAATTATTAATATTTATATTTTATAAAAGAATAATAAATTCGAATAAGTGTGAAATGTAATGTGTAACCAGCTCAGTTTCAAATCGGAGGTTTAACTACGACCGCATCAGTTCAGTTTCAAACTGCTGGTTGAACCAGTCTGGGTTAAACTGTTCCAATCCCTAGTGATGGTAAATCTACTTTATTGTTAAATATAGATAGGTTGCATGTAAAAATCACAGGGTTTGACCCACACTGTGATTGGCTTATTGGATACAATCTTCCCCAAATTTGGTAACTTTTCACCAACATTGCATTTTCTAATGAAAAGGACGGGAAACGGGCAGGTGTGGTTTGAACCCGTCCCCTGTCCTTTTCTATTATTCATGGGGAAATCTTGAGAAGGACGGACGGTTTTGCTGCACCATTACTTCCCATCCCTGATTTTTTCTTAAAAAGGACGGGCATTATTAATATTTGCCACCCAATCCAAAGATCTGCAATAGGATATATCCTTGTCAACCTACCAAGTTTTCTGAACTTCACATAAACTTCATCCATTTACTAGAAATCTGATCGGTCATTTATTTCCATCTAATAAATTTTATTCATTTGTTAGAAATAAGAAACATCATGACCAGTCATTCATTTCCGCTGATATTTGATAACCGACCAATGAATTTTTTATAAATCAGAAACATCATAACCGGTCATTCATTTCCGCTAATATTTGATAACGACCAATGGTCTTTTTATTATATCCACTAAAGTTAAAAAATTAAAATAAATCAAAATAACGAAATTAAACGCCTTGCATATGAATTTTCCTGATTTTTGGTAGAAGCATACTTTGAACAAATCGATAGATTATTACAGATTATTGACAGATTATGAAAAAACAAGTTTAGTACTATTTATTTCAATAACGGATTATTTTTTTTTTTAAAAAAAAATGTGACTTGTATATGACGAATAACATCTTGTAAATTCATACTGATAAGGTAAAAACCCAACTGTAATAAAAAGGACGAGGGACGGGTTCAAACCACATCTGCCCATCACCTGTCCTTTTCATGTAACCGATTATATTATATATTTTAATTAGCTTATTTATTATCTATTATGATTTGTATTCTTCATTATTTTATTTTTACAAAAGTTTTAGCCTCAAATGTATAATAAAAAATAAAAATCAAGATAAGGAATAAATAGAGACTGAAAATTATAATAGTCCAATTTTGCAGCTGTTTATTAAAAATTATATTATGACAAGTACCTTTCACCTGTACTTTTCATGGTTTGCCCGCGAATAATAAAAAGGAGCAGTGGGATGGGTGGTAATGGCATAGTAACCCATACTTTTTTCGCCCATCCTTTTCAAGATTTGCCCATGAATAATAGAAAATGACAGTGAACTAGTTTCTACACCTTCACCACGCCATGTTAGTTACTCGTACTTTTTTACATTATTTTGCAGAATACCCGTACCATCACCCGTCCTTTTCTAATATTAATGGGTCAAACTTGAAAAGGACAGGGGACGGCAGGTGTAGCTTGAACCCGTCCCCCGTCCTTTTCCAGCATCCCGTCCTGATGGATGGATATTCAAGTTATATATAAATACTATTGCCAAATGACATCATAGTAATAGTAAATTTGTGTTATGTACACTCTACCCTTAAGTCACATTTGTGATAATTATAAAATTATACCCACCAACCACAGGACTGGAATTAATAATACCTCTAAATTTGTTTTGTAGTGCAAAAGAACAGTAGACAAAAAATTCCTTTAAAAAAAATGAATGAAGGTATTATTTTTTACACAGAAAAATAACTATTTTAAAAATATGTAATAATAGTAAAAGAATTTTTACATTGTAATTTAATATTGCTTTATAATTAGCAAAATTCTATAAAGGTAAATAAATATTTCACAAAATAAATTTATTATGGCATCATCTTATTAAATAAATTTTTATTTTTATTCTTAGGGAGTAAGTATTGTATTATAAATTAACCTTTACAACATAAAATAAACTTTATTAAAACATCATCTAATTAAATAAATTTATTTTTTATTTCTTTATAATAACCAGTTGGTAAGTATTATATTGTAAATTAACTTTTACAACACAAAATAAACTTTATTGAAAATCATCTAATTAAATATTTTTATTTTTTTATTTCATAGAGGGTAAGTAATATATTATGAATTAACTTTTACAACACAAATAAATGTCACCTAATTAAACATATTTTCTTTTTTATTTCATAGAGTTATTATTATTATTAATATTTGCATATTTAATAATTTTATCTAGATAAAAAAATAAAAATAAATATTTAATTTATTACAATTAATTATTAATTGTTATTTATTTTAACCTGTAAGATTTTTGTCAAGTAAAAAATTTTGACTCAATTGGTGTTTCGATTTTAATCCATAGATTTTTATCAAATCTCTAACTGATAACAATTTTGGAAGTATTTTATTGTTATTATACATAATTTGAGAATTTATCTTATGGGATCGACAAGTAGGGCAACAATTTTTTCTGTAGAAGTTACACGAATAATATCGTAAAGTACAAAATCACACGTGTCAGTTGAACAACGCGTCGAATTTTTAAATATACATTTGAAATTTTAGACATGTGTATGACGCGAAAATCTTTAAAATATTTTGAAAGTTTTTTTTATTTATTATTTTTTTATTTATTGGTTAATTTTTATTTCAGTGTTATTAATTATATTTTTCGTTTGTTGGTCAGTGAATTGGTTAGTTAGCTTGGTTAATCAGAACAAATTGTTAAGGAACAATTTATATTTAATAGGGTTCATATTGGAAAGGTCATCTAATAAAAACATTAAAATATAATTATTATAACAAAAGAAAAAATTATTATTATTATTATTATTATATTAACCGAGAATCTGTAATATATAAATACATATTTGATATATGTATATAAATAAAATAATTAGTATATGTAACTAAAGAACTAACGTTAACTATTTTTTATTTTTTTTTTAAAATTGAAAAATTAGATTAAAATTATATATATATATATATATATAACCAGGAACTTCTTTTTTTGTCTATTAATCAACCAATTTGCCTCTTCTTTCTTTCATAACTTCTATAACATTTCAGCTGATTTTCTTACTATACGTTGAACTTTCTTTTTAAATGCTGGATAGTTATCTCGCCATTCCTTCTATTATAACCAAATATAAATATGTAATTATATACCAAGTATAATAAACATACGCATAATAATAATAGTAATACTAATATCATTATTATTATGAAAAATTCATATATATGCTTACAGCAGATTCAATGTTTGCAGGTGATTCATCATTTGGAGTTGAAAGCATAGAAATCACACTTAATAAAATCGTTTCAACTGTATGCACCGGCAACCATCTTTCACCTGCATCTTCGTATCCAAATTTATCTTCACCAGGAGGATGCTATAATATAATAAATAAAATAAATATGGATATAATATGAATGAACCAGGAATTATTATTTAAGATTAAGGTCAAACGAGATTAATTATATAATTATGAAATATTTAATCATTATTATTTAAAATTCTAATAAAATTAATATTTA